CACAGTATCTTGTTGATTTCATTATGTTCATTCCAAGTATGGCCTGATCTGAATCCAGTCATAGCTTTTCAGAATTGGGACCTCAGTCTGGCTGTGGAGCACTGGTCCACTTGGCTGGTGTTGCCTTTTCTCATTAGTAGAGGTCCTTCTCAGCCTTGCTGCTTATGGCCAGAACTTGTGGGTTGAGAATACAGCATCCCCGTGCCTCTTCTTCCAGGGTACACTGGGCTGGTTCATGTGTCACAGCAAGCCAGAGTTCCAAGAGAACCTGTGTTGAAACATAGTCAGAAGGGGTCTCCTGGGCCATCTAGTTTGACCCCCAGCTCCAGCTGGCTCCACTCATGACATGCCTACAATGTGCATGCCCAGCCTCGCACATGCTGCCCAGGCTCTCCAGCATTGTGACGGAAGTGGGAGGGGCTGAGCAAGCCACAGGCCTTCTGTCCATTGTTTATCAGAATGTCTGAAACTGGGATTTTGGCTTGTCTCTTCAAACAAGCCAGGCTGGTAAGCCAGCAGCAAACCGGGGAAGGGGCAAAATTAATGTCCCTGGTTCAGACAGTGTCTGTGGGGTTTGTGCTGGCAGAAGAAGTTAAGCAGGAGCAATTGAACAGCATGTATGCGAAAGTTGCTCAAGCACAACCAGCCAGGTTTCTCTTGAACCTGACTTAACACACAGTGAGAACACACTACGTCACTCTGCAAACCTCTCGCCCCGCAACTGGTGGAGTGGAGTGGTGCGGTGGTAGGCAATTATTTGCAGCTTGGTGACACTGCACCATGTGCTAACTTTTACTAGCTGGTACTGCAGAGTTGCTTTCAACAGCAGCCACACGTCTTTTTAATGCCTCGTTCTTGTGGGAGATCCTTCAACTAAAGATAGGAAGTTCTGCATGCCAGCATGCCCTCTGTTACTCAGCTATGGCCTTTCCCTGCTGTCTAAACAGTTTGTGTTTAGACAGCAGAAGGCTGTTCTGCTTCTCACTTTTAAAAGCCTAAAGTGCTGTGCTTTTTCTGTGCAGCATATGACTATTCAAAGCAATTTTGTAGGTTGTATTGCTTCCCTTTATTGCACTAATATGAATATATAAGTGCAGCACATTTTAAAAATTCTGGTTTTGAAGATTAGAGAAAAGGTGACAAGGCAGTAAAACAAGCAGCCGCACAGTATTATGTTAACCACACGGAAACAGCAGGCAGCATTCTTTAAAAAGAAAAAGTAAATTATACCCTCTCCCAGGCAGCTCTGTTTCTTGAGTATGTTATATCCTTATGCCAAGATCACATAAATGTTGGAGAAACAGTAAATGAATTTGCATTAGAATAAAGTCACTATCAAGTGGTGAGGCTGTTTTCTTATCAGAGTTTATTGTTGCACAGCAGAAATCATGCCACTATCAGAATAATGTCTAGTTTTATATTTTATTTGAAAAAATTGAGAAAAACATTTCCAGCAATTTTCATTCAATGTGAATGAGAATAATATTACATCTATAAACACTGAAATTTCTATTTTATTCTTCCTGAGGAAGCTTCACATTTTTCAGCAATAATAAAGTATAATCTGTACAATTATATTCTGAAGATCAGTTCTGCTCGTTTCTGGGTAAATGCTGCAGTAGAACCATGTATACTTGCTTGGATTGTTTTACATGAATTGTTCCCCTGCCCACCCCACTTATTTCTCTTTAATATTTATTTCTTGTGAAGGGAATTTATTATTTTAACTAGCAGCTGTTTCAGACAGCCAGCTTTCAAGTCATTTCCATGGATTTTTAGAAGAAATGTTTCAATTAAATCTCTAGAGTGTATGCTGTCCTTTAAAGAGGTGTTAAATGGCTATCTGAATTTTGAATGCCTTACAGCACTATCCTGTACTTTCCTATGCAGAAGTACGTCCCATGGTATTCTCTGAAGCTTACTGCCAGAAATAGGGGTGTGGGCTAGTCATTTTCAGTGAGCATTTCCTGCACTGTCATGTTTTCTGGAGGCCTTCTATGTTTGCTTGCACATGTTGAATACCAAGCAGCACATTCAGTTTTTGCAGGCAATCAGCAGGCCTATTCAGTCTCAACACTGAACACACCGAGTATTTCCCTTGGACCTCTGCGTTGTAGGAGAAGAGTGGTTGTGGTGAGCAACCAAGCTTCCTCTCTGAGGATGCTTGACTGGCATTAATTATGGGTTCTTTTAGGAATGATGGGGTTCCCAGTGATTAGGGGAAGTGATGAAAGCACTATACAGCAGGATAAGCATCACTGTCCACTCTTTTGCAAATACACTTGCAAATTACTGGCAGATTACGGTGAAGAAGATTACTGTGTATATATCCAGAAACAGTTTTACATTTGTCCATAAAGTGATGACGGGAAGAGGTTCAATAGGAGTTCTTCTGGTATGTTTCTGGAAGAAAGGGCTAGTACTCATGCAGTTAATAATGGATTAGTTAATGAAAAATATAAAACATAGAACTTGTGGCTAAAGAGGTTTGCTGATCTATATAGTGTTTTTGAAACTATTGGCAGAATCCAATCTAAAGCAATTTTTGTTGCTTCCTGAAATAATTGGAATGGAAAGATGTTTAACACTGGCTACACCGTGCCTTATGTGTACAGCAGTGTTGGAGAATGTATGACCCTTCACCCGTTCTTTGCCTACAACTCGTGTAAGACATAGCCAGTACACCAAGGATGAGAGCTTGGAAAAGCACATGGAGAGCTGCAAGTTGCTCCTCCCCAGCATATGGTAAGCCATGTATGGATAAAGTGGGATCTCCTGGACACTGGCCTATCATTTCTTATTGCTGGTGATGTTATCTAGGGAAGATTAAAGCTCTAGCTCAATAATTTTGTAGGGCCATGTGTTCCCTTTTTTAGTGAACTGTATGGAAAATAATGGTACAAAACTGGTTTCTGGTATACTGATTAGAAGTCTAGTAATACAGTTTCAGTTTGAAGCACCTGGAGACAAATACCACTAACTCTGGTTCCTAAAATTGCCCAGCTTTAGCATTCTGGTCTTGCAACCTCTTAGTCATCGATGCTAAATGATGTGACACATTTTATCAAAGGCATCTCAAGTTGAGTGTACAAACATTTTGAGAGCAACTGCATAATATTATTTGTTTAGATTAATTTTGGATTTGCTACTTTTATTAACCATTTCAAGGGTTTATTTATTTATTTATTTATTTATTTATTTATTAAAAAATTATATGTTGTCCCAATACTAAAAGTCTCTGAATGGCTAACAGAATACACTATAGGGTTCCCCAATAATGACTTTCCTTGGTTTATGAACCTATTTAGTCTGCTATTATCAAAATGGACTTTATGTCACATTTGATTTAATAATGGCAGGCAGAACAATTCTAAAGGGTTTGGGAGTGGTAAACATGGTGAACCCATTGCCTTAATCTAGAGCCTTTCCAAGGTGAGGTGTGTGTGTGTGTGTGTGTGTGTGTGTGTGTGTCTGGTGGAGAAAGGGAACAGAGGCAGCTGTGTTTACTCCTATTACTTTACAATAGGAGGGAGATTTCCCACAATAGGTTCAAGCTTGCTTAAGTGAGGGACCCATACCGGCCTTCTCCCAAGGGAGTAGTGGCATCGGATCAGGTGGATTCAAAGCTGGCTCTAATTTATCCATAATAGGATTTCATTTGGGGCTTGGTTTGCTATGGTTGGTAAGAGAATTGCTGACAGCAGCTTTCTGCCCCAGGAGTTGTCCACAGGTGCAACAGGGACTTCGGTGCAGTGGAAACAAGCGTGCCCCATCACCCCAAGCAGAGCTCCCCTTTGCAGGTGAAGGAGTATCATCACCATATCCTAATAGACCGTAATGATCTGTGCTGGGGTGAGATTAAGATTGCCCTGCAGGAAGGCAGCAACCTAGAGGACAGTGTAGACCAGATAGTCTGGCACTTTATTTTTGGGGGTGGGAGGTAGTATAGGATTGCAGAAACAGATGTCAGTTGCATCTTTTCCCATTCAAGGCAAATGAAAAATCCCAGAATTTATTTTTTAAACTCTGCCCAGTTACTGACAACAAATGGCCAATAAATAAAAATAAAAAAATATTGCACTGGCATGATAATTTCACAGTTCCAGAAATGCATTTTTTAAGTCTAGCCTTTACACTTTTAAAACTCTTCACTTTATATAACAAACACAGACCATGTTTGCTTTCTTGGAACAATCTACGGTTTCTTTTTTTTGGTATGCGAGGCCTTTTTGCTGAAGTGGCCTGTTACAGCAAAGGATGATTTTGTAAAGATTGTAGTTAGGGGCAATGTGTACTCAATATGTTTTCTAGGTGGATGTGTACTTCTGGGCAAGTGTAGAGATCTACAAACATACCAGCTTTAGCATCTGTTGAGTTAGTTGCAGGGTAGACTAAAATCAGGTCACTCACATCTTTCTCCCTGCCAAGCGTTATCTGTTCTGGAAAAGGCAGTGCAGTGCAATTCTATGGATAGCAGTGAACGGATTTAGCCAGCCAAATAAAGTTGATAATACAGTTTCTCATAGTAATTCCTCACCTATCAATTTAGGCTATGGTTCATTTTCTCATTTTCTGTAGTCCTATACAACACACACTTTTACTCCAGATTGAATTCTGTAAAAATCTAGTTCCATGTTTATCAATCAGATTGTACAATGGGAAATAAATCTGGCATTTTGTGCTACATATTTTTCTCATTCTTTAAAAATAGAAGACACATCATTGTAATTAAACAATTCAAAAACTGAGCAGGCAGGCAGTGGGTTACAAAATTGACATGAGACACAATATTCTTAAACTGATATGAATATAATATATAAAATTGTAAATATTTACCATGAATTTGAACAATTGTGTAAATTTGCTTTTGAAAAGTGTTGCTGTTTACTCCTACATGTGAGTGCATAAGTTTACAGGCACATACTACTCAAAGTTATCCTGTGGCAGTTCCATTGAAGTGAATGGGAAGTACTTGAGCACTGATGTGCATTTGTTCAGCTCCCATTGTAATCTGGCTGGTACAGATGAATGTTCTGAGATACTGTGCCCCAATATAATCTCCATAAGCCCTCTAATGAAATCCCATGTGCCTCCAGGGGTTTGTGCAGACACAGTCCAGTTGCCAGCATGTTGCACAACCATCCTCCTTTTTGTTCTCTTTTGAAGAGATGTTTCCTGACAACTTCTTGGTAGCTCCTGAATGTTTGAAATGATGAAATCTTTTGAAAAGCGTCCTTTTGTGCTATCTCACTTTTTGCAGCTCCTGTCTTAGCCATGATGGCAGTGGTTGTCCCAATTTGTGTAGAAGCTTTGACAGTTCCACATTGTGATCTCTGTAGTAGTTCGACAGAAAAACCCTGCACTGATGGATAAAAAAGCTGACATTTTATTTGGTGAGATACTTCACTGACTTTCTATTTTAGTTTACCTGGATCTGAACAAACTGCATTAGAAACTAATTAAATTAAATGAATATAGTAAACTAAATTAACAATGAAGACACAGGTATTTTTATCCATCCGATATAACCTTCCCTGATCTGGTCCAAATGCAACTCCCATCATTACCAGTCTGCATGGCATGGGAATTGAAATCCAACACATTCTGAGAGCACAGCTTGAAGGGCAACACACAGAAGATAGCAGGATGGGAACTAAACCTACATATACAACGTATTCATATACACATTAGCAGCTGTGACTTCACTTGTGGAGCTGTTTAGATGTTCACATGGAAGCATGAGGATGCAGTTGTGAGGTACCCCAGCCCCTAAGAGAAATGCTCCTGTTCAGAGCTCCTGGTAGCCTGGGACACATGCTTTGTAGTCCTATTCAGGAACTGACAGAGTGGGAAGATTCAAGGCTGAGGAGGAGAAAAGGGGCAGTGCTAAAAGGATCAGATACTAGGCAACATGAAAGACTGGGACCTTGGAGAATTGCTGTTAGACAGTAAATAAGATAGGGCAATATTCACACATACCCTGATTTCAAGTAACCCACTTTGAGTGATCTTGATTATGCATCTGGTAGATAAAAGAGCAAGCCATTTTGGCTAATCGGGTGGGATATAAATCTAATAAATAAGTAAATAGATAAGAATGTTAACCTGGAATAAAGAACTGAAGAGAGTGGGAAGTGGAAAAGCTAGGTCTCTGGGGCTAGATCCATGTGGACTTAAACATTATGTTCTTGAGTTTGTAGCATCATGTTCTGCTATGCTATGATGGAGTGAGCCAAAAGTAGGTAAGACACATCATGGAGAACCAGGTCATGGAGGACCTCACACAGTGGATGAATTGAAGGAGTTCATCTCGCCAGCGTTTCTCAACATTGGTGCTAATGAGAATTTGTGTCATAGTTTCAGGGACAGGTTCCTGGAATGCTGATGGAGGACAATTTGAGCACTTAAGAGACTAAACATAACCCTATCAGTACTGCATGCCTACTGTTGGCCCACCCTGTATTTAACATCACTGTTCCTGGTTTAACATTCACCACACTTTCATACTTACCATGAGACTGGTTTATGGGTGGTAATTTGTTGGACCTAAGGCTTGTGAAAATTCAGTTTGATTAATTATAATGGTTTAAGTCAGCATGTAGGGCAATTTCTTGTATTCCTGGATGTGGGTAAGTAAAAATATCTGTGTAGAATAATGTAAAATAAATGTTTGCAGTAGTGAAATTTACTGTGGAACTGCTCAGGTTCATGGTGCTTAATAGAAAAAAAAATCCTCACTGATGATACTTTATTACTTATTAATAAATAAGGACATTTACCTGTGTTTATAAATATAACACACACAAAATATTTCATTGGATCAATTTTTGGAAGTGCAGCAGTGTGCTATCCTCAGTTACCCAGAAACTTTCATCAAATTCAACACATGTCAAGAAGGATTTTCAGAGGTCAAAAGCATGCATAGTGCTGTCCCCATAATGGTTGATTGGGTGTTACTTCATGCATTTCCTGTCCTTATGGTGCTTTTCTGACTATCCATCTTGGAAGACAGATCTGGAAGAAACTGGAATCTAAGATAATCTGGGATATGATCTATGGTCTCACAGATCCTGTTTACTTATGTGGAATAATTATCTCTAATATTTACCTTCCATGTTAAAACTTGGTCCCACCTCATGCTTGCAAGTATTTTTAACTTCATTGATGAGATGTTTGAGGGGAAGAAGGTGAGTCCAAAGCAGACTCCTTCCCTTTCTCATTCTTGGTAGAGTAGATAGCTGAAGTGTAGGACACGTTCATTTGTAAAATTCTAGCCTTTTTCAGGTAATAAAACTGTTTGAATGGCTTGGAGCTAACTAAAAAGTTATTAAAACTAGCTATTAAAATGTGTAACTGTAATAGCTTTTTAAGTCGTACTATTTTCAAGAGGAACATTAAGCATGAACTTAATCCCCCACCAGTAAAATCAGTAGGACTTTGAAGTGTTTAATGTTTAGTTGAATCTTATCAGTTGTTTTTCTGATGAATAATACTTTACCTCAGAATCCATTGGAGGGTATTTTCTGCCTTTGCTCTTTCCAAGGCATTTTGTTTTTCCTTCTTCTAGGAGCTGACACCAGAAGCCTTTATGTGAGTCGAACCTGAAAAACACAATGTCTTTAAGTCCAATGAGAAGCATTCAGAGAATGTCTGCATTTACTAATAAAGAGAAAGAGTGACAAATTGTAGTCTTGTAGCCTGTTATCTGCTTAAGGGTGCAATCCTGTCAACTGAGTTCTTGGTGAATGGAAGTCCCTCACGAACTCGGAGGCTTCCTGTCATCCAGTGCAGGGCAGGAAGAACAGTGAAGGGATTCTTTGCTTCCCAAGCCTCCCACCCTTCACTTTTTGCTAGACAGACTTTTCAGCCTGTCTTACAATGGTGTTTAGAGGTGGAGAGAAGGAAGCAGGATAAGAGAGTGGATAGCTTGTCTCCTGGCTTCTGGAGTCTCTTTGCCTCCTTGCCCACTGACTCTTTCTCCCCTCTCCAAGGCTGATACTCCAACCTCAGAGTACAGCTGGCACAATTATTTCAGCACCAGCTGTGTGAGGGCAGATCTCTGGCCTCCCCTTCTGAGGATGGTCTGAGACATCAGGGGGCATCCCTGCTATCCTGTGGCTCCTCAGGCACACCTAGGGGCCACAGGAGTGGGCCCTAAGCTGAAGGCCAGTTCATGTACTGACCCCCAAATGAAGCATCGTGATTAGAGGCCAGAGCCTCAGCCATGTACTGCAGCTGCATTCAGTTGGAGCACTTCCTCCCAGCCCTCTTCTGCCCTTTGCTGCCATATGCTGCTGCCCCTTCACCATGGTAGACTAGCTTTTACTTGGCAGCAGGTGCAAGAAGCCTCTGTCTGGCATTTGCCTTCTTTGTTCTTTGCTATTAGCTTCTCCTGCCTGTAGCTGGGAAGGAAAAAACAGCCAATGGTAGAGAGAACAAAGGTGGCAAAAAACCAGGCAATGTATTTTCTCTTCTCTTTATCAACTAAAAGGCAAGAGTGACAATGGTGAGTTGGCAGCAGTGGTGTCAATTGCTCTGTGGGGAGAGAGGGGGCTTGAGGGAGGCAATTCAGCATCATGTGCCTCTTCGTGGCTGCCTGAACTTGTTGCACAGCCAGCCATGCTCTGTAAGTAGGATGGACAAACAGCCACCATGCCAGGGAGGTGCTAGGTACCAAAAAGATCTGGGACTCACGTCCGCAGACCAAAAACAAAAAGGCAGAAATGTGAATAAGCTTATTTACACACACTTTAAAGCCTATGTGTGTATGTCTTTCAAGAACCCTGTTTCCTAAAGATACCCCTATTTGCAAAAAGGTATCAATTTTCACATTTTTAAGATAAAGAAAAACTGCTCATGTTACAATGCCTGTCAAATAAATTGCAATGTGTCAGCAGACACTGATATGGCCTTTCATCCATCTTTTATACATGATAAAGGATTTGAATACATGAAAAAGAATGCAGATCCAGAATACATATATATGAACATATAAAGACACTGTTTATAAACCCCATATCTGTGTCTGCTGATTAACTAATGATTAACTGCTGACTATTTTGCAGTCAAGATGCCATGATCAGTTGATCTCAAAGCATGGGAAATGTGTATCATATTTCACGAAACAGGGAATTTCGCAGTGGTGTGTATGAACCCCATGTACTGTGGGGAATTTGGGGAAGCCTATTGAAAGAAGACAACTTTCCTGTCAATGATCATCCATCAACAGGAAATGTTCACACAAACCAACATATTGGTTGTTTGGATGACTAGCTATGTGATCCCTGCAGACCAATGGAGGCTTCTATGAGAACCTCATTAAGGCTAATGTGTGAAGTGGTTCTCATTAGCATGGTTATTACTGTTCCATTCCATTGTTCCTATCACTTCTTTCCCAAAAGGTGACCATATTACAATGCTTTCTGTCTGGGAGCTACTACTTACACAAACCATGACTGCATTCACACAACATGACCAGATCTACCTGATAGATGATCAAACGTAATCATGTTTTTCATCTTCCTCACGCATTCCTCCCACTGCTGGCATGCATCCCACTGTGCCTGGAATTCAAACCCAAGGTACATCGCTCCCTGCTTATGATGCCTGCCACTTCCTCATTAGTCCACACACAGAGGCTGGGTGACTGGAGAGGCTTCTACAGTTGCTACTCTTTCCAGAGGACTCTGTGGTAGTTGAACCCATGACCCTGGGTTCAGGCAACATGACAATCCATGTTATGGATTGGTAGTACAATAAAAACAGAACAAGCTTTTGTTTCTTATTGTGGTTTCTAAAGGCCAATCATAGCATGATGAAATATCACAAGTGGCCTCAGACCAACAAGAGAAACCAACAATGGTGAAGCAGCTACCATGGCTTGTTGTGTTACCTGAACTGAGCCCACAAAATAACTTCAGGTACTCTGCAAGAAGCCCTTTTGGTTGCTCCTCCATGGCAATCTTGCCACATGTTTTTGGATGGACAATACTTATGGGGAAGGGAGGGGAGACTCCCAACATGGAGACCATTTTCTATAATGGCCTGGGGTTTCTCTTTTTACTTTTGAGCTATAAAAAGCTGTAATCTGAAAATAGACATGCAAGTTTATTGAAGTCCGTGTTTAAAAGAAATAACTGAGACACATTTCCTGGTTTGTATAAAGGTAATAAAACCATTACATTTAAGATAACTGTTTTGTGGGTTTAGAACCTTTATACATCAAGCAATGGGTAGCAAGGAAGCCACAAGCAGGACTCTGTGACCACTGCCTATGGATGAGCAGGCCTGCTTCTTCCTTGTTCTTGCTGGCCTCGAAGCTCAGTAGATGAGAAGCAGACACTGTAATCACCGCCCAAGCTACATAGATGATGGTAAATGCCACTAGAAATATGGGCAATGTGGCACTTTCCCATATTTTTGAATTCCTGGTACTTTTGTCCCAAAGGTTTGCTGCAGCTGTTTTAGCAAAGGTGGATACTTATCAGCTTATATAACTTGAGATCTAGACAGCATACTAAAAAGCAGAGACATATAGTCTGACTTGCGTATAGTCAAGGCTATGGTTTTCCCAGTTGCAATGTATGGCTGTGAAAGCTGGACCATAAGGAAGGCTGAGAGCCAGAGAATTGAGGCCTTTGAATTGTGGTGCTGGCTGAGATTCCTGAGAGTCCCTTGGACCACAAGGCGATCAAACTGGTCAGTCCTAGAGGAGATCAACCCTGACTGCTCTTTAGAAGGCCAGATACTGAAGATGACACTCAAATACTTTGGCCACCTAATGAGAAGAAAGGACTCCCTGGAGAAGAGCCTAATGCTGGGAACAATTGAGGGCAAAAGAAGAAGGGGACGGCAGAGGATGCGGTGGCTAGATGGAGTCACAGAAGCAGTTGGCGTGAGCTTAAGTGGACTCGGGGGGATGGTGGAGGACAGGAAGGCCTGGAGGAATGTTGTCCATGGGGTCTCAATGGGTCGGACACGACTTTGCGACTAACAACAACATAACTTGAGAAGGGAAAAAAGTCATCAAAAGCTAAATTAATGCAGAGTGTAATTTTGCTGGAGCTGTGCCAGATCAGTTGAGAGAACAAGTTACTTTAAATGGAAATCTTAGCAAATCATTGCCTGTAATCAAGGCAAGGACAGGGAGAACAGAAAGCATGCACTGGAATTAAATTAAAAGTATATGGTAATAATTCACAGCAACCAGGTCAAGGGAAGAGAAGGTGCAGAAGAGGCTGAAAGCTGAATAGAATTACCCTGGGGCCGAATTTGATCCATTATGTCTTTACAATGCACTTGAGTTTATCTCACGGAAGATAAAGTCAGTTTTGCCACATACTCTACAATAAAGAACAGCACAATTGACTAAGAGGCATTAAATAGAGGTCTGGCTGGGAACAAACACCATTCTTTCTTTTTTTGAGAGCGTCTTCTTATAAGTGCAGACAATGGCATCTCATACAAAAGAACAGACTAAGGTTATCAATCTCATTTTAAGGGCAAGTGAATAAATGTTTAAATCCAAATGGTTTGTGTACATGACTATTTATTATATACTCAGTGGATGCTCTACCCTTGATACTGCTATTGTGGTGTCTTTCTAGCAGTCAAAAGAATTGACTTCATTCCTGCCTGCTTAGGGATGCCAAATCTTTTGCCGTGGAGCAAAGAAGTGGAAAGGCATTCTACTCTTCTTAGCCATTCAAAAGGCAGAACCAATTTACTGAAGACAGGCCTAGCTTTGTCCAGTCTCTATCCCTTCTTTTCTAACCCACTATATGTGTGATGCAAGCATGATTTATAGAAATAAATTTCTAACCAGTGGTTGAAGGCAGCTAAGTGATGAACTGCGTTGCAGCTTGTTAACACCTTAGACTGAAAAGCCTGACGTCATCAGTTCATAAGCAAGTGAAGATTTTCCATGGAAATTCAATAAAGCTTTTCTTAAAAAGCACACATTTGACATTTTTATTAGAAACAGAGAATGTGTTAAGAAAATTATATCTCAGCTGAGACAATGTGCGAAAGAAACTTTTGTTCAGCTACACAGCCCCTTTGGCTCATTCCTTCATTTGAACTATGATTAAACTGGAAAGTCTTTGGTTAAATCTAGTTTCCTATTTTGTCTGAATCCAGAAAAATAGTTGCCGATGTTGGAATAAGCCAGGACCTTAATCGCAGTTTGATTTTAGTTTAAAATCACAGCTTCTTCCAAAGCTAATAAACCATGTTTTCCTAGTTCAAACAAAACAGGAAAATATTATTATCAGTTTAACCATAGCGCCCTCAAAATGAAACAAAGAAACTGGGTGCACAGAAAAATGCTCAGTTATATTTTATTTCAGAATTTTTCATATCAGATTTGTTAAGCTGAAAAATGATAATCTGAACTCCCTCATTCCCACAATTTCTTCTGTACAACTTTATTATGCATGCTTTGTTAAATAAATCACTGAATTAACTCACGTTAGAGCTTCTGAGTAATTATAATGAGGAGTAACTCCAAGAAACTTCTGCACTTCATCCATTACAATAGCTGGGTCATTTCTCAGCTGCTGTCCATCAATAATTAGCAACTGAAAAAAAGTCAACTGTGAGTACTGCATTTAAAATTTATTATACACCACATTTCAAATTCATTTTTTCACATATGCGAAGCTCAGTCTTTAAAAGGAAGAGGGTTGCCCCAGGGATCAGTAATAAGCCCATTCATATTTATCACCACCTCCAGTGCTCTAGGAGGGTGGTAAATGGCTCACTAATTAAATCTGCCATGCTATTAAATTGGAAGTTGCTTGGGACACCCAAGATGGCAGAGAAATAAAGCTGAAGGACCAAGAGAAATTAGATCTATCAGTGCACAATTGAGTGTGATTTGCCCTGAATAATTCAATCAAATGCAGCTTTGCAAAAAACAAAACAAAACACCCCATAGCACATCAGCATAATTTCCTTTTTTCAGAATATCAATCAGTTGGTGACAGTTAATGTCAGAAGTAGAACGGTAAACTCAGTCCTTTGGGTGTGTGCCATATTTTAATTGCTTGTTATCCTCCAGGACCACCATGGTTGAACAAGAATCTCTCAGATGTAAAGCAGCTGATAGCTGAGAGACTAAGCCTCATTTTCAGGATGCCAGACAATGAGTCATTTGTCCAGTGAATTGGACATGCTGTTAGCTGGATACTGTAGAGGAACAATAATTTATCCCATAGAACCTCATTGAGTTGGTCCTGTCTGTGGTTCCTAAGACCTTCTATGGGACAGTAAAAGAAAGAATGTTAAGATTTTAAAATAAAGGGGGACTGCAGTATGCCCTGCTCCAAGAATGTATAGCTGTACTATTTCTGTCTTTTGGTGATGAAGTCTTTGCTTTTGGAATTGCCAGAAAGGATCAGCAACTGTTCAGATGATGGTTTTGAATCAGTGATACATTTAAAAACCAATTCAGAAAGCGATACTCTCTGCAAGGGAATAACTGAAACAAAAAGAATACGTTTCAAAGGAATGCAGAGTTGCTGTCAAGATATAGTATTGCTTACCTGATAAGGTGGAAAATAAGTTAGCCATCTTTCTATATGGGTGGCATACCAACCAGGTACTAGACATTTCTTCTGCAGAGCCTTAAGCTCTGATGAAGCATGATGCCCAGCAGTGATGACTTGATAGAAGGTAAACTTTAGAGCTGCAGGGTCTTTATGTGATCGCTGATGCTGGGAAAAAATGTTGAAGAAAAACTACTGTAAGGCAGAGTGACATGCTTATTCAATTTATAAACCACACTCAATAGTCCTACACAGGGCACTGTACAACCTACAACAAAAAAATCATAACTTACATACATTACACAATGAATAATATTTAAAAGTTGTTAAAATCCATTAAAATAGTACCACTATGACTACTACATAGTGCCTTACCAAATATTTATCCTAAGCCAGCATAGTTACCACTGTAAACTTATAAAAGCAATCAATCAAAGATTAAAAATTATTCAATACAGTTCAGTTAATTATTCAAATAACTGGAAAATAGAACAGTTTTTGCCTGGTGCCAAAATGATTGTAGTGAGGGCGGCAGGTGAATTACTGTGGGGAGCTGATTCCAAAGATAAGGTACAACCACTGAGAAGGCTCTTCTTCTGTTCACCATCCCATTCACCTCCTTTTGGAATGGCTCTCCAAGAAGGGCCTCTGAACCAGATCTTAACAATCAGGTGGGTACATGTAATTTCTGATCTTTTTTCTTCCACACAGTTAATGCCCCCTACTAGGCTTAGTGCCAATTATAAGTTCTATAAATTAGTCTTTTTATGGAGACTAAATTATATGATAAATAAGTCTTTCCCAACGTTGTGCCTTCTAGACATGTTGGATTATAATGAGTTCATCATGCTCACCCAGCTTGGCCAGCCTCAGTGGGTTTGATGAGGATTATCATCCAACACACCCAGAGGGGACAAGGTTGATAAGTCAGGTCCAGTAAGGCACTGCATTGCCTATTTTGAGTGAATTTCTGACAAGATAGGGTCCAGATAAACAGCAAAAGTAAATAGAAGCAAAACTACATAATACTTATTGCTAAAATCTTTGATTGATAGTTCTGAGTTCTAACCAATATGATGAAATGCTTTGTTTACACATTACCTCATTTGATTTGGTGTTACAATCTCAGTAAGAGGGAACAACTAGTCCCTTAGCTGGGAAATGTAACATACCAGATGTTTTACACACATTTAATGATTACCTCAGAAAGGGGAAACAGCTTGTAGTACTGCTGTACCAATGACAGCCTCCAGGTCTGCCAATTGCACAGAAGCTTTGAAGCTTGCAAACGTGTGCACTAGTCTTACACATCAGTAAGGGGATTGAGATTTGATAGACAAGCTTGCCAGAGAGAGCCACAGATTGTTCTGCCTGCTGGGCACATGTCCTACCTTTAGGTGTGGTAGCCTAACTTGCTGCTAATGCAGCAAATGCAGATCTACAATATCAGGTTGTTACTGCAATCTTTTTCCCACTGAGGACAAAGCCTGTGGCCAATAATGCGGCACATACTTTGCACACAGAAGGTGTGCTTCCTAAATTCAACCCCCAGAATGTCTAATTAGAGCTGGGCTTGACTTCTGTCCAAAACTGGTAGTGCTGATGCAACGCAGTATGGAGGATACTGAGCTGGATGCACCAGTTAAATCAGAGTAGATATCCTCAACATCTGTGCTGAAGTTAAGGCCTTTAGATCATTACTGGCAGCTAGTCCATTCTAAACCTATAGATTAAGGCTTAAAATTGAAATGGTGCTCTATAGCTCAGAATGAAATTAAGATGCATAATAGATATGTGCTAAAGAAAGCAACCCAAAATGTTTTGCCATATATTCATCAAGAGTCAGCATTAATTCTTAATGTTTCTACCTGATACCAGGAGTATGCTCGATCTGATGGGTCAATAAGAATGGTGATAATTTTTGCCTTGGGAATCAATGAAGCTACTCGTTTAGGGGCTTCTTCAGAATGGAAATAGTTGGCACTCTTTTCAAAGAGAAAGTCTGTGGTGACATTGGACGGTGCAGGAAAAAATTCCATGTACCTATAAAAAGAACAGGTTAGATGGTCTAAGCACTATATACAAATACATTCCTCTAGCAATACAAAGTATGTCTTGTTTATGTTTCATTTATGTGGAACTAACGATAGAGGAAATGAGCAAGTGAAAGCAACCCAGCCTTTGTGCTTGTCTGATAAATCATACTTGCTAACTAGATGGTGAGACATTTACAAAGCACCCTACCACAGAACTGGAATAATATTTTACAGAGATTTTGGAAGAGGAGACTTTATTGATGGGAACTAGCATATGTTAGATTTAAACATGCCAGAACCAGCAACCATTCTGACAGTTTTCTGGTTTGTAGTGGAGGCTTCTGTGGCAGGGAAAAAATAAAACAAGCTTGCTATGCACTCGGACATCCATCTCACCAGCCTTGTTAGAGTGAAGAGCATATATAAGTATCTCTGAACTGACAGAACTACAGTTTCATTCTGCTTTCACCACTGTGGACATATTGAGTCACAGACAATATCTTGTCCCTGCAACTATCCTTGTTAAATATTAGAGTCCATGGTAGACAATCTGTTCTGAAGAGGAAGAGGAAATTTCAGCATTCTTTTACTTTTAAAAACACATTTCATTTTTTCTTAATTACTGGACAATATCCTATTAAATACTGAGTGTTTCATGGACAGTTCATATAAAATTAGCAGCTTTTTGGAAATGGAAGAATCTAAATAATGACAGAAAGACACTGGCCTGATTCGCACATAATTCTAACCATGCTGTAGTTAAAACATAGTTTGTTGCAAAACAGCTCACGGTTCTGATTTCACATATAACAGCTCATAGTTTAAACAACATTGACACAGCCCAACAATGAACCATGGGTTCTGTATTCTGAGTTGTATGTGGTTACATCACATGGGTAAGTGCTATGTGTGAACAAAGCCAGGATTAGCAACATCTGAGATGGTAAATCTTTTCACCATCCAAATGGTTATTTCACATTTAATTATCATCATCTAGTAGATGGTTTTAGAATAAGATTTCACCATGAAAATTGAAACTATATGACCTCACTTATCCTAAGAATTTAGAATGTTCTTCTTCAGCTTCTATGTAGGATGATTGAAATCCATGGAGTTCTTTCCTGCTATGTTGGATCTCTCCCTTGAGCTAGAAAGTTCTTCCTTTATTTGCTGAACATTTCTCAAAGAAGCAAGAGAAGCTTTCTATGACATGGGCCTTCTCAAGGATTCTTTTTCCATTATTCCCCACCTGAAATCTACATAATTTCCTCAGTACTAATGTTGCAGTTGGTTACTCAGTAGAAGGCACTGTACACAATTCACCTGATTGAAGAACAGAAATACTTTTTCAGAGAATCTATTGATTTGAGTGAGTTTGCACAGGTAAACTTTCCAATGATTGGGCTCTTTTGCACTTGTAAGGAGTAAAGCACAAAGTTATCTATAACACTGTTAGGTTCATTACTCCCCACTTGGTTTTGACCCAGGACTGATTTGAGACAAAAAGAGAAGTGGTTTCAAAGTAGGAGTAAAAGGAAGTAGGCTAGGTTGCAAGTCCTAGTCATGCCAGCTTAAAAGATGGTATCAGAACATCCAACTCCACTTCAAGCACTTTTACACTGCATGCTCCAGCACATGTAGAAAGTTTAAAAAACTTGACACAGACATAGCAGGAATGGAGCAGTGGACCATCACTAATTTCTATTTACCAGTAGAGTAGACAAGTACTGACTGGTTCAGAAAATACAGGAACACATGGGTTGAATATAAGTTAAATGTGGGTTATCACTAAAGTGTGCATTACTGATGAAATACGGGTTACCCTTTTGTTCGAACTCAGTCATACTAATAAACGATGGTTTAACCATGAGCAACCTATGAAATGAGCCTAGGCTTTGTTGTTAGTTGTGAACTGTGGGTTGTTAGTGGTTAACCATGGTTTATTCATGTAGCTGGGTTTGGACAACATGATAACCCATGGTTCAATGACAATCTGCACTCAATCCATAGTTAATTCTTGAGTGTGATTTATTCTGTTGTATCAACCCAGTCAATGTATTACTTATTTATATTATATTTTAGGGACACTTGTTCTTCTGTGTAGGCAGGGGTTGGATTTATACCAATCATGAAGAGGAAAGAAACCACATTAGCAGGTTAGTTGCAGCCATCTTAATTAGCATCATTACCCTTGTTTGGCATGGATTGTCAAGTATGAACTGGACTAGGGTGGAAATCTGAAGTGGTTTGTAAACCTTCCTAAAATCCCAGAACACACTATTGTTTTCCGGGAAGTTTGTAAACCATCCTAGCCACCCAACCTCACTGGGTTCTGACATCACAGCAACCTGTGCCTTAATTAGCTAGCTTGAGGTCAGCACACAATTGGAAAAAATAAGCTGTCATAGCATATTTTCTCTTAGTGATTTTGCAGACCTGCCTACTCTCATCCCTACTAAAGGCACAATTCAATAGCTTGTGACTAAAACTTTACTATAAGTTATCTTCCTTCATACAGTTAGCAGTATCTCATTGACTTATACACACATTTTCCAATAATGATGAAAATTAAGAAATCACAGATTGGTATTCACTGCATTTGTAACTGAGCTACATTATCTGCACACATGTTATTTTTAGAGAACTAGCAAAAGTCCATTTCAATCTGCACGCATACACTCACATTAGATATGGTAATGCCATTTTTTGCAATGTGCATACTATATAAACTTTTAGATTTATACTAGTAACCCATCTTACCAATCAATCCCCCTGTGGTAGTTATTTCTATTAAAGAACTGTACCTCCTCAAAGGTTTTGGGGCTGGGGGAGTTACTAATGATGGAAGGATGCATAATCAGGAACAAATACAAAGCTGTGGTGCCTGTAAAGAGAATAAAAATCCAAGAGTTGAGACAAGACTTCTGTCAAATCCTAATTTCATGCAAGGTAACATTATTTTCCTTATAGCTTTTGTGAGCATTGTCCTGTTTATGCCAGCAAAGGCACCTTTTAATGTACTTTACAAATACATTAAAATATGTGCAAGGCTTTATTCAGTGAACAAAGAAGTGAACAGTGAAAAAGCTGTCCTCAGTCAAGTCTGAGCTGAAATTTATTTAAGCAACAGATGACCTGCAGTATCTATACTGAGATTGCAAACATTTACATTGTACAAGACACACTGATTTCAAGAAAAGCAAAGGTTCGGCCACCAGTTTACAGGGCAAAATTGGTGGAAGCAGGCATCTGGGTCAAGCAGGGCAGGAACCACTACTGGAGGGTGTTTTTGCTTTGGTATGCTGACCCGGAACTTGACAATGAACTTGAAGCATACGGATAAAGCACTGCTTCAGGTCTATGAAACCAACAGTATAGGCCTCTGCTATATTGGGCTGAAGTAGAGCTCAGTTCTAGGTCACTGCTGCTGCCAGTTCACCTTTTCCTCTACCAAACTAATTCATATAAATTAAGCTCTCACCAGTTTTCTGGGGTCCAATAACCAGGAATTTTGGCAAACGATCACAGGTTTTTTCTTTAGACCAGATATCTCTGTGCCGCTTGTCATCACAAGGGTTCTAAGTTGAGGAAAAAACAATTGAACATAATATTTTTTTTTGTTCGCCATTTGTCTAAACTGGCTAAATTGTCTAGTTATATATGCATGTTGGAAGGAAGACAAAAGCAAAAACTTCCATTGAAAAATTAGGTTTCTGCTTATTAATTTTGGAATGATGAATGCAAAATAAGTACTGCTATTGGGAATAATATTATCATATAATAATCTAAATAGCTATCTGGTTCCAGGGTAAAAGTATTGCATAGTTTTATGGAATGATCAGAAAAATTGCAGCACATTCCTATGAATGTTTACTCAGAAGCAAGCCCAACTGATTTAAAGGGGGCTTATTCCTCAGTGTTCATGAAGCTGCAGGTTCAGTTTAATATTTATATCTCAAACTGTATTTTAAGAAATAATTTGAACTAGTCTATTTTAAATGTTGAAGGGAGAGCTTTGTATATCATTGAGCAGACTGTTCCTAAGCTAAGGTTTATTAATTGAAGTTAAGGTTTATTCATTTTGTTGGTAGAAGGGTACCATTGGATAACATTGCTTATATTATACCTGTGGCTATACTTAACTGTTTTTCACACACACACTTGAGAACAAGATAAAACCAAACAGTACTTCCTTTGGAGCATTATACATACCAACACTTTCCAAATCTGGGAAAATTTCCAAATCTGGGCTACTATAAATGTTAGGTACAATCCATCTTTCATACCATAGATAAAAATGCTTATATATATTCTTGTATTAATTTTTTTCTCCAGTACCAAATAAATTTATCTTTTTCTTATAAAATCACATCTTATACATTTGTACTCTATGCCAAATATCATTTTTTCCTATTTGTTGTTAGCACTCAGGCAGAACATAACATGTTTTGCAACCATATTCGGTTATTTGGTGTAATCAATTCCTTTAAATTATCCATTAGTTGGACCATTGAATTCATTGGCAATTTAGGTCCACAGTTGTATCTTGCATCATCTGAATCACATTAACCTAAAAAATATCTTATATCTCTACAAGATCATCACATATGTTTGAAGTCTGCACAAAATCAACCGTATCTCCAATATATTGCCACAATTTATATAATCTGTCAGGTGTTAAATGCCACATACAAATAATCTTTAAAAAGCTCTCTTGCAACATCATTGACATATAGGTAGGGGCCTCTTGTACATACACCTTTCCATTGCTTAGCCAATTAAACATCTTTTACAGGTTGACTATTATTTTAATGTCATTTTAATTGTTATTTTTTGTACTACATAGATGTCCTTTCTCTCTCTCTTTCTCACACACACACAGGGAGAAGGAGAGGGAGAGACTGTTTTGTGAAAAATTACTCAGTAGCAGTATTACAAACTTAGTGAACTGTACAGATTATTAGTTCAGGCTAGTCTGTCTGAATTTGTGAAATCAGCATGCGGACTGTGCCAGATTTTTAGGTTCAGTTTTCCTTCCTTCAATTAAAAAAATCACATATATTTTAAAATTCTTCAAAATCCTTTATCTGGAGAGGGAGATCTCTTCATATGGCAATATGCTGTACCTGGCTGAAAACAATCGATAGAAGCTACTGATGTCAGCGGAGAAATGCCCAGAGCTAATACTGATTTTATCTTGGCATATAAAGGTAAAATTGTATACTGCATATACTGAAAATCATATAAATGAACTGTTCTGCCTCGGTGTACTCTCCAAATCCCATCTTGCAAGCATATTGGAACTTCACCTGCTCTATTGCCCAGGAGGTGCTTTGTTAACCAAATATTGGTTAACAAATTTGTAGCGCTGTTAATATGGCTGCTGGACAATGTATGTTGATGTTTGTTACTACCAGATCATCTTCCTTATTGTAGGTGTGTGAAAGGATATTACTCAATTATTCTGAAGCAAAGAGATATAATTGGCATGTCTGCAATGTACTGGTATAGCAAAAGTGCTTTTTATTTATAACATCAAACATTTAAATTTTGAACTTGAACAAGTTCAAATTATTTTACAGAATCAGAGTGCACAGAAGATAAAGCAAGCCGATCCCCAACAGATAAGGCAGCAGTGCTCTTGGCCATCTTACCTGCCAAAGAGGGTCCTTTTGCTCAGGGAAGAGCTCAAAGTACTTGTGCGCAAGCTGAGCAGGAGGCAGGGTCTGCAGCTTCAGGTTAGTCCAGCTCTGAACAAAATTGGCCAGATTGACAAAGGTGTACAAACCTAGTCGGTCATTCCCGTAGTTAGACAAGTGAGTCATGAAGATGCTGATCTTAAAAGGGGGGGAAAAAGACATTTTTCTAATTTTATCGCTAGATGGCAGTGGAGTTACAAGGGAGTATGTTATTCTGTGTATTTGCCATTAAGAGAAAGAGAGAATGCTATGCAGTAAAGTCTGTGTATTTGCACATTTTTGATTATTTTTAACTCTAGCTACAGCATTACATGTTTGACTATGTCGCCTTTTGAGGTATCGTCTGTAATTATCTAACATTTGTGAACTCAAACTTTGTGAGTGTTCTTTATAGCTGATTATATAACTCAAATGTTATGCTGAGTCTAAGGCACTGTGCAACACACATGCACTCACATCAAGAGGAAATTGCAAGGGCACCAGGAAGTGGTAGAGCTATAATGGATCAAAAAATATCCTAGCATGCAACAGTCATGGACATGAAAAGCCATAAAGTGGGATGGAGATGTTAAAGTAGGAAATTGGTAAAGTTGAGTGCCTTTATCAATTATAAATATAATATGAAGGAAGCTTTGCAGAATCAAAGCTGTAATTAATATTTTTATGCCTAGCAAGTATATGAGTGAATGCATGCCTGTCATTAAAATGCACGTACATCTCAGTGTGAAATCCTACTAATAAGTAGTAACAGCTAAATTATCATTGCCAGAATATACTACATAGTTTTTTGGGTTCCTAAAACTGATTAGCATGTCATCAGTTTTCAGTAGCTTTCTTTTGTTCTTAAATGTAAACGATGTAAGCAAAGTGCAGGCTACAAATATTCCAATGAAAAATTCACATAACATCTATACCACATGGGGAGAGTAATCCCAGAGTCAGGGCATCCATAGGATCATTTTGGATTTCTGGTACTGAGGCTGAAAAATTGCTGTGACTTCAGAGCTGAGGATCTACTTTTGGCTCCCCGTCCCTCTCCCAGGTGGTGAAACAAGAATTGTTTAGTGGGCATTCCAGTGAGGCAGGGAAGGAAGGTGTCCAGCACCAGCAGATAAAAATCATGCCAGCAGTACCATATCTATCTTCCTCTCTCCTTCGAAATGCCAAAATGCCCATTAAAGGCCAAAATTTGCTGTATAGCTCTTCTGCAGAGTGGGCGGACTTTGGAGGAAACTGTCTTCAAATCTTTTAGGTCAAAGATGTGGTGTATTTGAGCAAAGCAAAGCGAACAAAGCAAAGCAGTAGTATTTAAATAAAATAGGGGTTTTATTTAGTTATGTGGTTTCCTAAATGCAAGTAAAACAAATATGCTAACTAAGATTCCTCTAAGGTGGGATATCGGAGATGTTTCCTAAGCAAACTGAAACTTTTCCAGTGCAAATGACCATATGCTAGCCACCATTTTTCCTCTGCAAAAGAACATTTGAAAATTAGCTGCAGAGGGCCTGAGGAGACATGTTGTACCTGCCACATGCAAGCAAGAGCTAAAACAACCCTCTGCATCTCTGTGCTCCAGCTCCAGGCTGTGAGGGGAAAGCAGCAGAACCAAAATAAATCTCAAGCTTTTATGAGTGGTGGTCAGCACAGTATTGAACTAGCTGGCCACTTATGGCACAATCCTGAGTATGTTGAATCAGAGCAGTCCTTCAACTCCCAGTTCTTCTGGCTGGAGAATGCTGAGAGGTGTAGGGCATTTTCCTGTCCAAGCATGCATAGGAGTGCACCCTTGCTTGGTATAAGGGAACTTCCCTTGTTTGCATGGACCACACTACAGCCACTTGTCAGGCTTGGAGGGACACTAAGCAATAATCAGCTGCACTGGAGACTGGCTGAGCACGTATTTATTTATTTAACACTTTTGTATGCAACAGCCTCATTGCTCTCTGTACAGTTTACTTAATAAAACTGCACTTGTCCTGATGAATGAATTGTAGCTATTGCAAATCAGGATAATTAGGGTAAAAATTTCAAAAGGAGGCTCCTGCATAGCATACTGTTTGAAATTTGTAATATCAAAGAGGCACCATTTTTCTACAAAAAGGGCTTGTTTTGCGCACATAGTGCTGTATTGCCAGACCTTGCTTGCATGGAAAATGTGGCAGGACTCTAAGTTAAACAGACAATTAATTGTCTAAATTGCTTTGAATTGAAACACAAACTAATTTGATGAGAGATTTCCTGTGAATTGCTGAGACGAAGTGCTACAGTGTTATGGACAACGGAGAGCCACAGAAGTGTTGTAATTATGGGTGTAGATCTGGGAGTCAAGAGATTTAGTGCTAGTCCCTACTTTGCCAAAAAGGTCACGGGGTGACTTTGGGCCCATCACAGACTGTCAGCCTAATCTACCTCACAGGGTTTTTGTAATGACAATAAATTGAAAAAGAGAACCTTGTAAGCCACCTTGGTTTCCTTGCAAGAGGAAGAAAGAATATTAATGTAATAATAATTTTTAACTTCCCCCTCACTTTAATCAGAGTCTAGATTGGAAAAGTTGAAATCGTAGCTTGCAGGTTACAATGCATTTAAAATGCTGTGCCTCCTATGTATGTTTCCCCCCAAAGCTCTGCAATTCTATTCTTGTGCTGCTGCTTTAGCAGAATTTGCAGCAAGCATCATTTCACAGAGAATTTGTTTAATGAGTGTCACCTTGTGACACAGCTTGGCTTGTGACTAACGCTTGGGGCTTCATTTTTTGTTATTCTCAAAGGAGGAAGAGATACGAAGAGATATAATTCATAGGACACAATCCCCCCCCCCCCCCCCCTTTAAAGCTAGAATGGTAAAAATGTATTTTCAAAGATGGCTGTATTCCCTTCAGGCAAGGGATAATGCATTTTTTTTGCCACATGTATAACCTTTTCAAATTTCTTTTATTATTTTAAAGTCCTGAAACCATAAGTAGACCAGAAACTGGACTGCTGGTTTCAACAGAGATATAATTGGAAAGTTTCCCCACAAAATATAAGCTTGATTTTTCAGCAGCTTTTTTTCCTCCTACACCTATGCTGACCTCTGACATTTATAATGTCAGTTCACCTCCTGGCAATTCTTTACCTGTCAACAACTTTAGCACTGCACTGAAAGGAAAAAAGGAGAGAACTTGAAAAGGTTAGTAGTTCAGGGAAAATATGTATTATTCTTTCCCTGAAGGGAATCTCACTATAATCCTAAGAACATTATAGAGTGGAGGTTTATTTTTTATTTATTTATTTTCTAAAGTGGACTGAATAGATCATAATAAATAATCTTCAGTGTAAGATGTCTTGTCAGGGAAGGAAAACACAAACCACAAATGCAGTTTTACTACCATGCTTCTCTTTATGCTACACACAGTTCTTTGTGACAAATGTTTGTTTCAAAGTTACAGTCTTTTTTAGCATTTCATAAGGCATTTATCACATGTTTACAGAATGGAGGGTAAGGAACCAAGAATATGAGAGGATGTCAGACTCTTCTAGTCTAATTTGTCATGCTGTTTGTGGCACGTAAAGGGTAACTGGTCCCTGGCAAGCCCCAGATGCGTGCTACTCCTCAACTGGGATATTTAATCTTATTCATACTGTGAGGATTAGCCTCTGAGAGGGTAACAAAATTTATCCTAGTGGCATAAATGGAAACTCTACCAACAGTTGCTCCTCTTTTCATTTCAGTAATAGAATGGGAGATGCCATATCTGGAAAAACCATCCCTGTACATCATTCCTAAAATGTACAGCAGCTAGTTAGGGTCTGCCAACATTAAGTGTGTATGGAAGAAAATGTGTAGATACATGAAATATTCAGTGTATCCAAACCCAATTCCAGTTGAGTGGATTTATTAGTCTCAGCAAGCACATCCATCAAAAATAGCACCCAGCAATCTTGGGACCCACTGTATCCCTTCCTGTTGCCGAACATGTGCCCAGAATCAGTGGGGGAGATGTATGCCAGTACCCTTATTTTCCATCCCACTGCTTCCTTCAAGTTTTGCCCTGCCAGCCTGGCAATTCTTCTCCCTTCTCATGTTCTTCCTCCCTGGTGGGATTGCCCTGCTTGCAGCATTGGCTGACATGAACTGGAGTACCTTTTTCAAGTGTCTGTCAACATCACAGCTTGGTTTTACATTTTAAGAATAGGCTAGACATACACATGACAGGAATGTCATGAGTGGAGCTGGCTGAAGCCCAGGGGTCAGACTAGATGGCTCAGGAGAACCCCTTCTGACTTGCTCAGTTTCTATGTTTCCATGTTTTTAACAGGCTTTAACAAAATCCTGTGGCCATAATACTTTTTATTGAGGCTGCAGATATGTTACCATGTCTTCCAAATGACTTTATGATCTTCCTTTGCGATTTCCTGACAAATATGTGCTGATCAGTTCATCTCAAACAAGTAACTTGTTCACACTGCAGACAACCTTTATTACACCTTTTCCTTTCATAAAAGGCAAGAAAGGACAAAATGAATTCTCTTAATCATACTGCCCTTTAAACCACGTGTGACAGTGAAAACATATATTACATCTCACCATCTTTTAAAAGCTGTCTTATGAGAATATTTCAGTTTCCTCCCTGCAAATACAACCATTGCCCTTCACCTTTTCTCTCAAATAAATCTGAATGTTGGTTGTGTTTTATTGCTCTTTCCTTGGAAATTAACATAGTTTATAAAGAGGCACATGGAATACAGAGAATGCTTTCAGTTCTGGTTTAGAACCATGTTTGGCCCCTGGCTGGTACCTGATAATGGGCTTCCAACTGCCATTTCTCTCAGAGTAACAATGGCAAAGGTTCTTAATTCTGTTTTCCTACTGCACAGAGCCCTCTGGGTAAGCCATGTAATCATCTCCTTTTGACTACCTGCCAGCATGCCTGCTTCCTTATACAGCAAAAAGGTCCCTTTTTGGGTCTGTGTTGATTCCAAACCCTTGAAGTAGCAGAAGTTCCACCCAGCTTTGGGTTTATGATGAAAATAGGAAGTAAAAATGGAACAAGCATTCAGATCATACAACTTGTACTTATTTCACATTGTTGTTTTGGTAATTGCGTTGCTCCAACAGCTTGTCCCAGCTGATGCCAAGAGCTTAGAGGCCGGTGC